AGAAATCACCCCCAGGGGGGATGGTCACACCGCAATCCCTTCTCCTCCATTCTCCTCAGGATCTTGGGCATGCACACACACACGCCCGGTGTGAGTTTTAAGCCACTGGGTCTGGGACGCGAACCGCGGTCAACTACGTGGGAGTCCAGCAACATAGCCATTACGCTAACTGCTGGTTCCCGCCACTGTTACTTTTTAAAGTGTGTTTATTCGTTTTTTCTACGAGCGAGCACACGAGAGAAACAGCCCTCCCCCCGATCCGCACATGGGCAGCCTGGTTGAGCCCCTTATTGGGCCGCCGCGCCCCGTCCAGGCCTGCCGCTGTGATTATTCGCCTTTGCTTCCAGTACTCGGCCGAACACAGTCCCCGCAGCCCGGATCAAGCAGCCAAGACAAGCTGGTCTTTGCGAAACGAAAGGCGTCTTTCAGTAACTGGGCTGCGGCGCCGTGCGGCCAGGGCGCGGCCAACAGGCCTGTGTGCTGAGCACTGGATTTTTCCGTCCGGGGCACCAGGGGTTCTCTGGAAGACGACCCTGGGCCCGACCTCAAGCATGCTCGTTTACGCGGGCTCCAAGTGCTGCACCGTCTCCGCGTGGCTCTGCCTCTTCAGCCCCAAACAGACCGCACCTCGCCAGAGGAGGACGAGGAGGGCGGTGGGGGGAGCGGGAGAGAAGAGAAGGTATTTCCTGTCCTGACATCCAATCTGACTGAACTTAAAATAGCAGGAAAATCAACACCTCCAAGGCTGGCTTTCGAGAGGGGGCAGGAGCGGAAAACAAATCTCCCACGTTTGGCTCACGGGGTGCTGAGATCGTATTGGCTGAGTTCTGGGCCACAGGCCAGCGAAAGGAACGCAGGACTGTCCTCAATTTGGTGGCCACGGGAGGGAAATGAGGTTTAGATTTTTTTTTTTCAATTGCAAGAGAGAGACAGAGAGACAGGGAGAGGAGATGTCCCCCAGTGAGGCACGCCACACCGCAATCCCTTCTCCATGTCCCCATCCCATCAGGGTTCGAAGCCCGTGCACAGAGGGGCCAAGAGGACAGCAGAGGTCCATCCAGCAGTGCCCCCAGGTCCTTGGAAGAATGAAACCCCACCAGACACCCTCGATTCCAGGACAGGGCACGAGAGAATCCGCCGCAGCTGGCTGCACACTGTGCACTGGGCCCTGGAAGTGCGCGAGTGCACGCCTGAACACGTCTTGTGCACGGGAGCTCACGCCGCTCACACTGCCCACGCCTGCGTGTGGCGGCAGCCAGCCTGCAGAGACGGAGCCTGGGCAGAGGGGCCCGGGGGAGGGGACCCAGGAGCCGGCTCTCCTCTCGTGCTCACGCACAGAACGCTCTGGGCCACGGCGAAGGTCACCGCCCCCCTGCTCTTGAGGTGTGCTGGGGGTTGCACATGACTCCCCACTGCTTAGGACGCCCGGGAAGGGGCCTCGGCCCACTCTAGCGGCCAGGGAGGCCACCGCGACGCAGCTCAGACTGCTCCCATCGGCCACAGACATGGCTTCTTCACGTCTGGAGGCTGAAAGCCGAGATCAAGGTGTCAGCGGGGCAGGGCTCCTCCGGGGCCGCTTCCCGGGGCCTGCAGGCGGCATCCTTCTGCATCTTCCGCGGTCTTCACGTGCGTGTCCGCGTTTTCCTCCTCACTAGAATGACAGTCCAGGGCTGCCAGGTGGCGCGTGGTTAAAGGTGCTGGGCTCCCACATGGCCGAGGTCCGAGTCCCAGACCCGGGAGCTTGTGTCCCATTTCCCTTTGTCTCTCTCGCTCTCCGGCCACATTTTAAAAATAAATAAAGGAACAGTCCTGTTGGATTAAGGGCCACCCCGAGGTTTCATGTAACAGAGCCAGCCATTCAAAGACCCTATCTCCAAACAAAGCCACCTCCACACGGGTCCTGGGCGGGGAGCTGTTTTGTCTGCTTTTCGGTGGTCAGAGGGCACATGGCGAGAGAGAGGGGGAGAGAGAGAGAGAGAGAGCGCGCAACACCCTTCCCTCCCTGCCTGAGAAACGGCCATGTGGCAATCCCTTCTCCTCCGTGTCCCTGCCCTGTGGGGTTTTGTGCACACACGTGTTCCCGGCATGTGCATCCAGCAGCCGGGGCCGTGACTCCCCCTGCGGTGGGCCACGTGGAACCTGCTGCCTCAAACACAGGCCACGGAGCTAGCCCCAACGAGAGCTTCGACGGATGAGTTTGTTGAGGGAGGGGCCCCCAGGTCAGCCCAAAGCCCCCTAAGAAATGGAGGCTCAGAGAGGTCTAGTCATTTGCCCAGGGCCACACAGCAAGTGAGGGGAGGCTCAGAAAAGCAATACCCACCAATGCCCCGGGCGACGGCTCCTGCTCACAGCCTAACGCGGCAACGCACTTCTTTGGTCTGAATTTTCAACCTGGGCCTGAACTGGGAAAATGGGTTAGACAGGGTCAGGGGGTGACACTCCCTCATTCTTATCTTGGATACTCCCCCTTAGGATTCTGGGCTGCAGTCGCTTTTATCTAAGCATCCGGGGCTGTTGGTTCCAGGGCGACCGCCCGACGAGCCTGCCTCCATGCCTGTGTGGTGCGCTCTGCCTGGCCACATTTATCCCCTCCACCTCCGCGGGCCACCGCCAGCTTCCCGTAGAAATGACCCCCCATGTCCTGCAGCCCCCACTGGCCAGTCAGCGAGTCGGCCTCGGCCGGATCCCATTTCCTTTGCGCACTGAGCCAAAGTGTGACGAGTGTGTTCATCGTTTCATTCGTTCTCACCTGTTCGTCCTCGCTGGCCCCTCCAAGGTTACTTCCTGCCCTGCCCCTCAGTCTTCCCCTTGCCACCTCCCCGGGCTCTCCACCCACGCACCCTCACACTCCCAATGTAACCGCCCTGTGCGTGAGTCGCCTCTCCCAGAATTACCAATTGCCGGGGGCTCGGCAGGAGCACGGAGAGCCATCCTCAGCCCCACCTTCTCCTCGCAGTGCTGCCAGCCGCCCGCCCGAGAAAGCAGTCCTGGCCTCCCACCTTACGTCTCTGGCCCGGCCCCCAGCGGCCTCTGCCGGGACTCACTCGCTCCCCGTGACATTCCAGTCACCAAGCCCAGCAGGCCCCAGAGACCTTGGCAGTCAGCTGGCTTCACAGACGGACAGGAGCCCAGAGAGGACGGAGGACACGCCCGAGGTCACACTCAGGTTTGGCGGCGCAGGCGGGCCTGGCCTGCTGTCCAGGGGAAACAGACCGTGCAGCAGCGTCCCCTTTCGATTTCCTCGCAGCCACGTCTCACACAGTAAGCAGCAGTTGTCACTTAACCTGTCACATGGAATGCCGCAGCATGTGACCGCAGAGCCAGCTACATGTTTTCCCGGAGTCCGGAGACGCGGCGTCTGTACCTACAGCACAGCGAGCCCGCCTGGCCCCATCCCACGCACCCTGGAGCCATGTGGCTGGGGGCTGCCAGTCGGTCAGCACAGCTCTAGTGCCCAAGTGCCAGACCCCACGCGCAATGCTCTCCTGTCAACATGCCAGCCAAGGGTCTGCCCGTCGTGCCTTCCCGGCTTGACTTCCCGACACCGCTGGACCCTGGACGCCAGGGTCCACACTCAGCTGCCATGACTCTGCAACCCTGCATTCTTGGAGTTTCATTTTTCCCCCTTCACCATCCCCCCCGTCACCACCACCACCACCACCACCCTCACCACCATCCTCACCACCATCCTCTCCACCATCCTCACCAACTCCATATCTAACCTAGCATCAAGCTCTATAAATCCTATCTCCAAAACGATTTCAAATCCATCGATTTTTCTTCATTTGCACTGCACCCTGGTCCAGACCACCAGCTCTCATGTTTGTGATTGGTCTCTCTGCTCCAAATCTTGTTTCTCCATGAATATTTCTCCATTTACAGCCAGGACGACCTTTCAAAAACGTGAACCAGATCATGTCACTCCCTTGGGTAAAATTCCTCAGTAATTTTCTACTGTACTTGAAAGCCACACTCTTCGCCAAGGCCTCTAGTAGCTAGCTCCTAGCTGCCTCGGAATGGCTCCTGCTTTCTATTCCACACAGCCGCCAAGCTCGCGTCTGCCTCAGGGCACTTGCACTTGCTGACAGCTGTCTGGAGGAACCTGCGGCTTTCCTGCTCCTTTCCTCCCAACGTCCAGGCTGGGGTTCAAGTACCTCTCACAGAGGCCTTCCTGAGTCCCCTAGCTAAAGTAGCATCTGCTTCTTGACTCCCATCCCCAAAGAGTCTCTGTCCTAACTCCCTGTTTACCTCAGGCCAGCTGGTGGTGTGGTGGTTAAGGTGGCTGGATCTCACATGGTTGATTGCAGGGTTTGAGTCCTGGATCTGGCAGCTAAAAACACACCAGGCATGTGTGTATGCATACCCAAGACCCTCAGAGGAGAACAGAAGAGAAGGGATTGCAGCATAGCCATTTTCTCTGGGGGGTAGATTCTCACATTCTCTCTCTCTCCTCTCTCTCGCAAGCACACGTGCCCTATAGGTGAACTTTAAGAAAAGGAAATAAAACCACCACCACCACCACCACCACCATCACCACCACCATCACCACCATCACCACCACCACCACCACCACCACCACCACCACCACCATCCTCACCACCACCACCACCACCACCACCACCACCACCACCCTCACCACCTTCCTCACCACCCTCATCACCACCACCATCGTCGCCATGACCATCCTCACCACGACCACCGTCACCACCCCCATCACCGTCCTCACCAGCACCACCAACATCATTGTCGTCATCGCTGCCAGTGTCAGGTGGCGCCATGCGCTAGTCTGAGTAGTTTCCTCATAATTCATTCACAACTCACAGGGGCCTCATGGCGTAGCTACATACTTGCTTCCTTTGGCCGCTGTGGCAAATGTGAACTCCCTCAGGGACTTAAGGTTATTATTAGTGTTCCGGATGCTGCGGTCTGGCGTGGTCCCACTGGGCTAGTACCAAGGTGTTGGCGAGGGGCGGAACCCTTCCGGAGCCTCCAGGAGAGGCCTCGGTCCTCGCCTAGGCCGACTTCTAGAGGCACCGTGACTCGTGGCTCCTTTGACCTCGAAGTCAGATGCGGCAGCTGATTCCCTCACATCTCCCGTCACCCCGACCTCCTCTTCTGCATCTTCTCCCACTTTAAGGACACTTGTCATTACATTGGGCCACTCGGGTCACCTAAGAGAATCTCCCCATCTTAAAATCGGCTGCTCAGCAAGCTCAGTCCCACCTGTGACCTCGACCTCCTTTGCCAAGTAACCCAGCGCACGCACGGGTTCCAGCCGGCCTCCATCCCGCTTAGCAGGCGCGGGAAGGAGAGGCTGAGTGGCTCACGGATGGCCACGCAGCTGCTGACTGAAATTCCTGAATGTCCTTTCGACCCAGCTCTGGCCTCTTACTCTCCCACTAACATTCTGGAGCAGGCTCTATGACTTGACACTTCCAGAGACTTCTCCCTGGTCTCAGCTCCCTCCTCACCCACTCACCCGCCAAAGCTCGCCAACGCGGGATCCCAGTCTGGTTTGCAGCTGTGATTTTCCGGGTTCCCCATGCCATGTTATTAAAGCCAGTGGGCTGAGCCAGGACCGTCAAGAAAGGAGAATCCCTGAGTATCACCCAGGTGAGATCCAGGTTCTTTGCACACAGCTTCATCAGTGTTACGCTCTCCATGGGCCACGCGCACACCTGGACCGCCACCCCAACCAGGCCAGCTCTCCCTAAACTGTGCTCTCGGAAGGCTGGCCCCAGTCCAGTGCCACCAGCTTCCCCGGCAGCCCGACCTTCTTCATTTTCATTCAGGAGGAAGAAATCACCTCAAGTCCATTTACCCACTGCGGTAGAATGTTCCAGAAAAGTCGGCTTGGGACAAACTGGGACCCAGTGTCCCCCAGCCTCTGTGGCTCCTCTTCCTTGCTTGTTGGTTCAGAAGCTTCCAGAACCCTTAAGGATGACAGACGGTGTGTCCCTCTCTGCCCCCTGCTGACCCTGACTGATTTCAGTGGAGGAGCAGAGCTAAGTGGGGAGAGAGCCGAGAACAGCCCAAGCTCCTCCCGACGCCCCTGACTGGTCAGACCCAGTCCCCGGTTCAGGGTCTCCCAACCAACTGGCCCTTGCTTCACATGCAGATGAAGGCCATTGCTAGAGGGGGACAGGCCAGAGGCTGCACATCTGCCCAAGTGACACCCGGAGACTCACAACCCAACTTCTCGCCGCCTGTCTCCCAGCTTCCCAGCACGTGTGGCACTGGGAACTAACAGCGAGTGACTCCAGGAACACTTCTTCCTCGCTGGGCTCGGGCCCGAGGCCGGGCTGTGTGCAGTGCAGGGGCCCGTGTTTCCCCCGTCATGGGAAGCTGCCCGCGGAACCCATGCCAGCACACGGTTCGAACAGCTTTCTCAGCAACTTGCGCTGAGAGCGAGGGGGGCCCATTTCGGTTTCATCTCCATTCACTTACTAAATGAAAATGAATGAAACCCGGAGAAGACGGAGTGTGTGCGAGGACTGCCGATGGGGCCCAGCGAGAGCAGCGCCTCGTTCTTCAAATGCTCCTCTTCCTGCAGGCGTGCCTGGCAGGAAGGCCGGGCCCCATCAGATGGGCCGAGAGCGAGCGGTGGAGAGAAGAGGGCCCCGTCTGGAAGAAGAGAGTATTGTAATGCGTGTTTTCTGAGCAAATTTAGAAACCTCAAACGGAATAAACTCACATGAAATGGTGCCGTTGGAGGTGAGGGGCTTAACGGCAGGGCTATGGACACACGCGGTGTCCCTGTTGCTCACGGTTCGATCCCGTATTTCGACGTGAGCTGTGACGCAGAGGAAACGCCGGGGAGCCCAAGGGACCACCTGCAAATGTTCACAGCTTTCTGCAGCGTCAATTATTGCAAGGTGAAAAGGTTGTTTGTTTTTTAAGCTTGTAGTTGGGAAAGCGGGAGGGAGGGAGAAGACAGGAAGAGGCACTGGATCGCTGGGTCACAGAGGACAAACCCACGCCAGGGCAGCAGCTAACACCCCTGCTTGCTCCCACGACCCTCCCTGCTCCGTCTGCATCTGCCAAGGGCTTCCGACTGCTCTGGGGTAAAAGCTATCTCCAGAGGAGCTCAGAGGCAGGTTTCTTTTTATTACTTATTCTGGACTCAACCTAGTGGAAAAATGCCTTGCAAGGCATCGGCTGGGCTCTGGGGCCGTTTTATTTGGAGGACAATTGAAAATGAGGACCAGTGTCACATGCAAAGCCTGCTTGGCAGCTCCTGACTCCAGGCAGGGCCAGCTGCACATGCCATACCCCAGCCCTGTCTGCCACGTGCGGGAGAAACGGCCCGGGGTCCTGGCTGGGCCTCGGAGTCTGAGTGCACAAGACCAAGATGCCACGGGTTTGGCCTTTGTTTTGCAATCACCAGGTGGATTAATCAAAAGGCTCGTGGCCTAACTGCCAGCAGTGCTGATCCTGGAAGATGAGCTCACTTCTGCAATCTCAGGTGGAATGTTTGGATGTTCTCAGCAGAAACTAGTTTTATTTGTCTTAAAAGAACCCAGGCCATGGTGACTGGGGGCTTTGCACTGGGAGCAGTGGAAAATTTATTCCAAAGCTTGATTGCTCATTTAAAAAAAAAAAAACAGTTAAGCCTAAGGAGACGTACGTTTTCCTGACAGTGTGGAACAGGAAAGGGCTGCAGTATCCAGCCTTAGCTTTCAGAGCATACCCACAAGGTAAATAAAGCATAAATTAACCAATTACAATAAAATGCCGGATAAATGTCTTTGACAACTCCGAATTTCCCATGAAAATGCTTCCAGCTGTGACCCCTGGCTTGAGAGGCTCGGGTTGGTTGGACGAGGCCTGAGCGTGTTTACAGGGGGTCTTTCAAACACGCAGCCTCCTCCCTACACCCGAGCCCAGCCGGCTGGGGCTGGGCTCCACTCCAGGCTCCAGGACCCTCTGTTTCTCGCTTGGACAGAAGCGAGCAGCAGCAGCCATCTTGACAGTCTCTA